CCAAGGACAAACCAAGGACCAACCAAGGACCAGCCAAGGACCAACCAAGGACCAGCCAAGGACCAGCCAAGTACCAGCCAAGGACAAACCAAGGACCAACCAAGGACCAGCCAAGGACCAACCAAGGACCAGCCAAGGACCAGCCAAGTACCAGCCAAGGACAAACCAAGGACCAACCAAGGACCAGCCAAGGACCAACTAAGTACCAGCCAAGGACCAACCAATGACCAGCCAAGGACCAGCCAAGGACCAGTCAAGTACCAGCCAAGGACCAGTCAAGTACCAGCCAAGGACCAACCAAGGACCAACCAAGGACCAACCAAGGACCAACCAAGTCTGCCACTGTATGAAGTTTGGGTTCTACAGGTAATCAGGTTCCTGTAGAATCAGGGAGCAGAGGAGACGTCTGTTATTATCCCAGCAGAAAGAGAATCCTGTCATCCCAAATCAATTTTAGCTTCACAATCTCTGGAGGGTTTTCAATGAAGCTGTTGCTTCTGCAATTCCTGACATCTCTGTCTATTTTCCAAATGACTCACTGGACCAGCGGTAGTGGCTGCTGGTGATAGTAGTGATGCAGTGAAGCCCAATATTAGCCGCAGCCCTGGCAGCTTCACATTAGTGTCTTTCTTTACATTTAAACAATTCATTTCTTTCTAATATGAAAACAGGCCTGCAGCGTTTTTAAGGTATTAACAGGAGTATCAGTTCCTAAAAAACATAAACAACTTTATTTTAATTACTTTAATAAAAATGACAGATTTATCGTTAGTGGTTAAACATTTGGCTCAGCTTTTTCAACTTCAGCTAATGGTAAAAAAAAAAAAAAAAACACCATTTCACAATTGCAGAGTTTCCATTAAATAAGTGATGCAATAATTGTGTTCATGCAATAACTCATCATCCTCCTACTATTCCCTGTCATCTTGTTCACCAATAATAATGTCAGGTTGTTGATCTTGTGATTTCTCTTTGTGAAAATAGTGACTCCATTGCCTCCTTCTAGTGAAGAAGTTATTTAACAACAATGCACGTTTTTTAATTTCTGTTTTTCTATTTAAAAATTATTTCTTAATGATGATTTGCCATCATTGAGCATGATTGCATTGCTGTCACCTCCGTAGGATTGTTCTAAACCTGAAACTCTTGCCCAACAGAACAACATCCAGTCCGGAGTCAAGGGGCCACTTTCAGCTGTTCAGCTTACAGGCCGCCACCCACCGCTCTGACGTTCCCACTTTCCTCAGTCTCAGCGATCACTTCAGCTCAGCGGGCAACGATAGAGACAGCAATGGTGTTATTTTCAGGGGCGGATTTAGGAAAT